CATGCGTATGAGACATTATTCAGGGAGGCATTATCCAAGGGGGCCCTGGGAAAGAATATTGTTCTAGTCACTAATATGTTATGCTTTTAAAAATGAGGTTGTGGCCAGAGTTCTCAGATATGCTTGAACAAGAAGAATGATTTGGGTTCTTATTTCTGTTTGTTGGCACTTCAAAACTTAGAAGCAGTTGGAATAACCAATTCTACACACCATGTGTGGACAGCTATTTGTGTTTGAGGACATATTTGGAAAAGAAGTGACTCCTTCCTTCCCCTGGACAACACGCTCCCATCCACCTCAGCTCTAACTCACCCACGATTCATGTGTCTGCACAAGTCCGCAGATAGAAGGTCAGCAAGCCAGTGGAAATAACAGTATCGGCAAAGGAATCCCCCAAGGGCCCAGAAACAAACAATCAAACAAGAAAGTCATATAAAATTTCATTAGAAAGGAAATAGATCCTTATGACAAAACAAAACAGAAACTGCTGGAAGATGCAAAGAGGAGAGTATTAATGTACTCAGCTAGAAAGTGGTTAATCAGGCTCCTTGCTTCCTTAATTTCCAGCTGTAGAAATATGCCAAGGGAAAAAGCATTTCCCCTGGTCCTGTTAAGTGTAGAAAGAGTGCTATTTTGACTCCACAGCCAAGGCTGCAGATGGGGGTGTGGGGGTGGGACGGGAGCGTGGGCGCTCCCTAACAACAACAGAAAGACTAGTGCAGTATGCCTTCCCAGACTATAAACATTCAGAGCCTCCTTGCCAAGCACATAATAAAATTTTCCCCTCTCTCTCCATGATTTCCTGTAGTTTGTACTATTCGCATGTAAATTGTGATGCGTATTAGTGTGGTCTCTGACTTAAAGAATGCCGAATTTTTCCAGAAGTGTCCAAAGCTTCCCACTGAGAAGAAAATATCTTTTAGGAGCTATTTTACTGGTTGAGAAATGTATGTGTTCATTTCAGTAATTCTTAGTCTTGAAACACGAATATGAAAAACGATCCACTGATAGTGATCACACCAAGAGACGTCACCCAGGAAAAGCCTGTTTCTACAAACAGAAAAGGAACAAACACAGCATTATGAATCAAAAACTCTAAAGAGGGTCTTGCATAATGAATCATGAATCTAATCCAAAAGTCAAACAATGTTCGCTCCAAAAGGTGACGCTCTGAAATTTTCCTACAACTGGTTTAGATCAAGAAGCAAATTTTCTCTCTTTGGCTTGGGAAATAAACACTGACTATAAGTCTCTTTTAAGAGATGAATCATTTAGCCCCTGCATCTGACATGGGATTAGCTCATTTGTTTGTCTCTGGGATATGACTACAACTGGGCTCCACAATGTGTCCAAACGTTTTCTGGCAATTTCTGATTTGTTCAGACAAAGGCCAGAAGCTTAAATCCCACTGAATTAACAGGTTGGGTTATTACCAAGGTGGAACAGAGCCAGAAAGCTGAGAACATACCTACCGTGCGTTGTTGGGACATAATAGCTGCCTTCGTAAGGATAGTGTCATTTCTAGGCCTCTCACCCACCAGTTAGCTCAATGAACTGGAAATGTTTTTCTTTCTGATCTTTTTTTTTAACTGCAGGAACAGAAGAGATTGGTAATTAACCAGGTGAGTAATTCTTTTGCCTCTAGGAATATACTAGAAAATTAAAAATAACTATCTTCTTTCTCATAACATTGACATCTCTGCATTAACCAACAAATCAAAAAAAAAAAAGAGAGAGAAATGGGAGGAGAGAGGGAAGGGGGAAGGAAAGAAGGAAGAAAGGAAGGGAGGGAAGAAGGGAGGAATGAAGAGAGAGAATAAAAATTAAAATAATATGATGCTCAACAGTTACAGAATAAATAACCCAGAGACAACATCTGAGAGGACTATTCTAAAAATCAGAAGTCACCCAAGCAGCTTCCGTATTCAATTAACTGAAGAGTACATTTAAGCGATACCTCCAATCTGACATTTACAGCTGACTCAGGACTTTCGCGTATATTATTAATTGGTTGGTCTGATATCATTAATCACCTTTTGTATTAGAGGAAGCCAAAGATTAACGAGATTAAGTAATTTAAGAAAGATTGTACTCCTACAAGTACAAGGTTGAGCCAAAATAGACCTTGGTCTTTCAGTCTTGGTTTACAGTTCTCATCACGACACCAGAGGGTTTTCATCTCTTCTGGTTCTGCTATGACATTCCTGTATATCTCACATTTTCACAGGTATCCCCCAATTTTTATGAACCCAGTCACAAAATTACTTTATGAGAATTAAAGCACTGCCCTGAATTGTAACCACTGTGGGGTTCATGGTACAGTAACGCATTCTAGCCGCAGGCCCACCTCCTTCTGTTCTGCTCAGAGAACACATTGGAAAGGGTGGGAGGCCTATTTGCCCACCCAGCATCTCCTCCCGTAGAATACTACTCTTGCTCCATAAAAGTGGTTTTCAATGAGGGTGATTTTGCCTGCCGGGGGACATTTGGCACCATCTGGAGATATTTTTGATTGTCACAATGGGTAGCATCTAATGGGTAGAGGCCAGGGATCCTGCTAGACATCTTACAATGCACAGAACAGCACCCACAACAAAGAATTATACAGCCCAGAATATCAGTGCTGCGGAAGATGAGAAATCCTGCTCCATAGAAGTCCTGCTCAAGTCACATGGCCTTGTGGGCCTGACCCCACACCAAGGATGGGCATGGGACCCAAGTCTGGCCAGGTGGGATCCTGCCCACAGGACTTTTGCCAGAAATAGTGGAGAAAATATTTTCTATTTCTCTCTGAGATGAAGACCTTAAGGCCAACAAAAACTTGGTCCTGCCAGGCTGAGATTGAAGACAGGGAGAGGCAAGCAGACTAAGAGGGAAAGAGAAAAAGAGAGGGGAAGAGAGAGATCTGCAGACTTTGTTTGAAGCAGGCCCTGCCTCCCTACAGCTTAAGCTTTTGAGCTAAATGAGTCTATGTATTCCATTTTTGTGGGGGGAGTTTATTTTAGGAGTTTTGCTTAAGCTAGTTTGAGTTGAACTTCTATGGTTTGCCAGCAAGAGTCTTGGCTAATACAGAAGCTAGAGAGTGAGAGTGATATTATTACAAGAATACCTTAGATTCTTTCTAACTATTATTTTTAAAAGCATATCATTCACCAACGCCAGTACTCTAGCTCTCCTATTAGGAGCAAATAGCCCTGGAGCCCATTCATCCAGAGTAAAATCTCTTCCATGTATTTTTAAAAGAGAAGATTACCAGAATCATCAATTTGTTGTTTTCCGGTAGCTGAACAGGGAAGAGACAAAGCTAAGGTTTTGAGGCTCGTGGAGCAAATAAAAGACCTGGTACTTGAAATAAGTTAAGGAGTCACAGATGCCAACTTGATCCCAATGTCAGATCCCAAAGTCAAGGCAGTCACTTGAGAGGCAACATTACGTTTCACAGGAGACCCATCTGAGTCTTTGACTCATCTAGAACATTAGAAGTCTGAGGTATTATAAGGGACCCCTTCCAGACAACATTTCAAGGAATCTCCACTGAGAGGGTTAAGAGGCATCTCAAACTCAATATGTGTGGGGAGGAAGAACCCAGGAGGAGCAGGATGGACTCTCTTAAGTTGAAGAGATGGAGCTGAAAGGCCAGGAGACTGAAGCAGCTGGAGTTCAGCCAACAAGGTACCAGAGAGAAAGTATTGCAGAGAGAGAAAGCTCCAGAGATCTGCAAAAGGCCCGCTTGAGGTCTTCAGCTGAGTACTGATCAGCACACACGCCAGAAGAAACTTCTCAGGGCTGCAGAAGGAATCGTCGCTGGATTAGAGGGAAGAGCATTGGAGCTCACTCAGCCAGGTGGACAACCTCACAATTCCTGGGGCACTGGGCAGAGCACACAGAAAGGTCTTTCCTCAGCAGTGGGGAATAATTAGCCCTAGATGCTAAATACTGCTCTGATCCCACCCAACAAATCTTAAAAGCAAGACCTGAAAGGATCAACTGTTTCTGGGTAGCTCAACTGCATCCCAGAACAAAGCTTGAGAATATTCGTAGAAATGTAAAAACATCCTGCATCCAAAGAGGAAAAATGCATGTCTGGAAAAAAAAAAAAAAAAAAATCTCACGGCATGCAAAGACGGAGGAAAGTATGACCCGGTCCAAACCTGTGAAGCAGAGGAACTGCCCATGCAACGCCCAGAACCATGAGAAATGATAAACCATTGATGTTTTAAGCTACAAGTTTTAGGGTGGCTGTTAAACAGCAATAAATAACAAAGGCATCTCCCCTTGCCTGGACTGTTGTACCAGCCTCCAAACTGGTTTCTCTGATTCTGTTCTTACACCCATAAATGTCTCAATAGCAATCAGAGCAATCTTTGTACTCTAAGCCAGGTCACTTAAATCTTGTGCTCTCAACGCTCACATGGCTCCCTATTTCCCTTAGAGTAAATGCAAAATCCCTACAACAAGCTACAAGGCCCTCCGTGAGCTGCCTCTCCACCCACCCCGCCACACACACCCACAGCCACCTGTGCAACCTCACCTCCAGGCTCCTCCTCGTGGTCCTCTGGCTCGAACCCTTTGGGTCTCATTCTCATTCCTTGAACACGCCCTGAAGGCTGTAGCCCCAGGGCCCTTGCCCTTGCTGGGGCCTCTTCCCAGGTTGCTCTTCCCGTGTGTGGCTACAGGCTGTCTTCTGAAGATCTCCCTTGTACAGAAGCCTCCTCCCCCTGCCTGTAGAAAATAGGACCTCCCCTGCCCCACACCCCCCACTGGCATTCCCTGTCCCCTCAGCCCACCTCCTTGCTTTAGGTGGCACCGCACTCATTTGACATGCAATATGCTTTTCTCATTCATTTGTCTGTCCGTCCCCGAGAGCAGGGGCTTTACTGGTTTTGATTCCTGCTGTCTCCCCACCAGCACCCTCTATAGTCTAAGACTTGCAGCAGGTAATCGATCAAAACGTTTGTTGACTGGAATGAACGAAGAACGAAGACGAAATGAATGCATGATTGATTACTAAATACAGAACAAGATAATACCAAGTATAAATTTTCTCCCACGGAGGTCTGTACTAAGAGAAGTCGGAAGGGTGACGTTCTTGTAAATGTTCTTAGCCTCCAACTGCATCGCATCAGCAATTCTAAATGTTTTAATTTCTTGTTGTTGTTAGAATTTTGTCTTCTTGCATCTGCTTCAACAGCCCTCCTTATCTGCCCAGAGCTCCTTTTACCAGTAACCGACAACTAGCAGGGCTTACTGTCCCAAGGCTGTGGGCGAGATTCCATTTGCTAAGGCTGAATCTGAAAAAGAAAGAAAGAAAGAAACAGCCCCTACAATGACCACAAAATAAAACAAAACCAAATAGAAACTTATACATGAACTATAACGGAATACAGAGGAGTTTCCAAGGTGCTAGAATAGTCTACGTCTATATCTGATCGTTGGTTACCCAGGCTTGTTGAGTCTGTGAAAATCCATTAAGCTCTACACTGATGACATATATGTATTTCCAAATGTATTTATGCATAATAAAAAGTTAAACAGATAGTCATCTCAATATCTACTTCTTAAAATGACTACAGAGTGTGATCAATGTGTTCACGGAGCTGTGGCAATCGGCCACTACCCACCGCTGACCGCTTCCCCTCTGATCTTTCCCATGGAGTGTCCACCATATGCTCAGTGTTGTTTGTGGGGGGAGACCTCAAGGCAGAAAGCAGGAACTGTCTTTGTCCTCAAAGTGCTTCCCATGGGGTCAGGGCCAAGAGAGCGACACACTCCAATGAGCCAACAACGACAATGAAAATGTCAAAAAATAAAAAACTTCAATTTTCACAAAGGTTTTCCCAAACCCTATTTTGTTTGGTAAATAGATGTTTTTAAATGCCAAAAAGAACTGTAATAAATAGTGACAGATGGAAAACAACGTACATATTTCACGTTGGAGGAATAATACATTATAGTCCCATCATAAAATAGAATAATAGATAACCCTAAGAACAGAAGTAGTAGAAGTATATTTAATGGCATGAAAATATGTTCAAAATGCATTTGACTAAAAGGTGGAGGAAATGGTGTGTACAACATAATGCCATTCACACACACAGAGAACAGTTCTAAAGAAAACGCACCACCCTATTACCAGCAGTCATCTCTGGGTAGTGAGAACAGTAGGAATTTTTTTCCAGAGTTCAGGTCTCACGGCTGCTTCTGCTTTACCCTCTTCAGTCCCTCTGGAGTAGGTTTTACTACCAAACTCATTTGCTCATTCACACATTCAAAGATGGAAACACCATCGACGCCCATGGAAGATGCTGAGGATCCTCCCAAGCCAGGATCGTCCTTGGATCTTTGTCCCTTCTTTTGTGGATGAACACACATCCGCTCAACCACTTCAGATGTCTTTGCTTCTTCTCGCCCACACACTCTCACGCACGCGTGCCTGAGCCCTTCGCTTCCACAAAGCTTTCTTGCTGTCCTCTGCCTACTGAGTCCCTTGGTACCAATTTCAGTATCACACAGCACATCAAATATTTGAAAAATAAAACAAGACAGCTGTTTGCACACCTTTTAAAACAAAAGTAGTGATGAGAAATTCAGAAGAAATCTGCAGAGCAATGTGATTGAAACTTTGGTTTCTGTGCACCAGAAACAGGGTGAACATGTGTAGGATCTGGGGACCATATGGTGAAGCCAAGCACACTGTTAATCAGTAAAATTATTCCTGTTTTCCTAGATCTTTTTTGGCATGAACTCCAGCGGTGGAGCCAGCGCTCATGATGCTGAGAGCAAGTAACGGTAATTTGGGCATTTGCGTGACTCTTTGAGAGTATATAAAGCCGCCGATCTAAGAGAATCCAATGAACAAACACGTTCCCAGTTCAATCCTTTACTCCTCCACCCCAACCCTTTTCGTGGAGTATGAAGACACACGTATGCTCCCCTTAGGTGCTATAGCAAGTGAAAGCCACACAGGTTTGCTCATGACTTCAGTAAATCATATTGTAAGGAATATTGTAAGACTTCAGTAAGTGCATATTGAACACAGCAGTGCCAGGCATTCATACTAGACGCTGGGGATATGGATTGTCCACAAAACATGGCTGGTTGACTTTGTGTGGTTCACAGTCCGCGGTGGGGACAGATAACCAGGCAGAACAGTGCAATGTGATCAGAGTGACTATAGAGGGTAGGAGAGTAGAGACGGAACCCCAGGAAGGGAGCTGGGGAGGATTCTCAGAGGAAGTGAAACTGGATTCCCACCGCATCACAGAGGTTCAACAAGGGAAGTGGGCTAGGCTATTCAAAGACCTGACGAGCAGACATCAAGTGTGGGAGATAGCGGATAGAGAGAGGACAGTGGGAAAAGAGACCATCCAGAACACGTGCACTTTGTAGGTCAGTGAAGGAGTGTAGACAGCGAGGGCAGTGAGGACCCCTGAGAGGCTTTCATCCAAGACATGAAGTGGTCTCCATTGTTTCCCAGAAAGGCCACGTGGGCTGCCGTGTGGAGAACAGACTAAGAGAGGCAGAACCAGATCAAACAGTGTATGTATTAGGATGGAATATTTGGGGTTGTTTTAAAGCATATAAAACATATAAATTTAAAGCATATAAAGCATATAAATGTCAACACCAATGCCAAATCTTAACAGTAGATTGCATTGCAGTGGATTTTTGTTTTTGTCTTTTAAAAATGTAATCATACTTTCTGATTTTTTTTATGGTAAACAAGAATTATCTCTAGAATTGGGAAAATTTGGGGGGACTGTTTTCAGTGTGATCGAGAGCAGACACAGGACATTGCTGAGGGGAATGATAGCCGGTAAAGGACAATCTTCCCCCTTGGGTATGGTCTTATAGAGTTATGTTCTCGAAGGTTTAAAGGGCCCCCTGGAATTACACACAGACCCAACAGCACCTCGAGTCATCCTGCCAGGCCACAGGCGCTCCATGTGGGTTCGCTCAGTTCCGCTCAGCGGCTCTGCCAGATTGGACTATTGCTCCCGTTTACTGATGAGGAAGCTGAGCTTCCGAAAGGTCGAGTCCACGTAGCCAGTTGTCAGAAGTGCCCTTTGTTACACCACACATTGCTGTTGAAAGGGACCCGACGTTTAGCTCCTTCTGTTGTCTTTTTATCATCTCAGGCTTCCTCGCAGCTTCTTGTCTCCATCTGCGTCTGCGTGTGCTTTTGGATGAGCACGTGTGTGCACTCACGACCCTGTGTGTGGGGACGGTGGGCGTCCCTCCCATTCTCCTCACGTCTCATTAGGACTTAAAAAGTCCGCACGGTAGCAGCCGCAGGGCCCCGTGGAAATGGGTCTGAATCGCAGCACTGCCTCTGACTTGCAGGCAGCCTGTGGGTCTCGGTTTCCCCATCTGTGCATCGAGGGTGATAAAAGTGCCAGCCCCACAGCGTCCTTGGGGGGACTGCAGGCTATGAGATGCATAAAGCACTGAGCCGGAGCTCAGCTCTCAAAATGTCATCTATTATTATTTTTCATTCCCCACAAAAACAGACTCCAAGGAAAAGTTTGATAATAGGTTAATTGAAATGAGAAGAATTCATGCCACTTGACCCAGGAGTTCCAGGGTTAGAAATCTGTGGATATACTCAAACAGGGACAACATCCAACAAGGATGGCCAGGAGGACCACACTGGTGGTTAAAATATAGGAAGATTTGCATACCAGTCGGTCAACAGCTGCTTTCCCAAGCTGGTCAATGTTTCTGGGCCACCCAGGCCGCCTTGGCGTCTCCTTGGAACCATCTGGCTTCCCGGGATCCAGCAACTAAAAGGTTAACAGAGGCTCTGCGGGGGACCTCCCCAGGACCCCGCACCCCACCACTGCCTGTTTCCTTCTGATTGATTGGCGCCTGGGCCAGAAACAACTACTTTGACGCTACAACACCCACCCCCACCCCCACCAGCTCAAGGATGTTTCCATGTTTCATTTGCTTCTTCCTTGCTGTTTATTTTTTTATGGCACAAATCTGGAAGCAACCTAAATACTTTCCAAGAGGAGACTCGTTAAGTAAGTTATGATACGTCCTTCCTATTGAATAGCGTGCAGCCTTATAAAACGGAATGAGTCGGCTCTACTATGTAGACATTACAGACAGTCATGTAGCGTTCAGTGACGAAAGCAGGTCACCTACGCGTATATATTGCATAATTCCATTTGTACAAAATAAATTGAACAGATGTTTATGGGTGACTATATCTATATAAAACATGCAATGCACTTAGAATGACTGTACCTAGTATTCAACTTACATCATTTATTATTATTTAGAAAAACAACATCAACAGAACAAAGACTGTATCTTCCAATTTGGGGCTATAAATATGCACGTGTGCTTACAGACTTTATAAATATGTGTATCAGTTGTTTGTGTGTAGAACATTTCCGTGTACGTTAGAAACTGTCAGTGGTTGTTGCTTGCGGGGAGGGGAGCTGGAATGCAAGAAATGAGCGTTCAGACAACTTTTCAGTCTCAATTTTCACTCTGTCCTGTTTGCAATTTGTGGCCTTGAGTATCTATTGCTATTATTATTACATGATTGTTATTGTTGTTTTATAATGGACTGACTGTAGTGTGTTCTGGCCACTGCGAGGGAACAACTTGGCAAGAATGGCCACTGCGGCCCCTGGGGCCTGTGATGGGTGCGGGAAGTACAGGGTTAATACCCCTTCCCGGGCAGCCTGCTGCCGCTGCCAGCAATCCTGCAATTAGGCTAATTAAGCAGCAGTTTCACAAGTGGGATGGAAATGTAACTGGCAGCAGACACCTGAGCTCTCCAAGGTAGACGCTAGAAGGCTGCCGGAGGGTGGAGGCAGACTGAGAGAGGCGCTCAGCAGGGCTTATCTGAAAGTATCCTCTTTCCAGACTTCAGGGAAGACTTGGAACAAACTGGTCCCCCGGTGCATTCGAAGGATTGCAACCCCAGGTACAGAAAAGAGGTAGAAACACAGATGGGGCTCTCCATGCGTTGAACTTTTTAAAGAGGGGTATTCTAGTCATTGAGTAAAACGAGGGGTCCCTGTTCATTGAATAAATAGCATTGGGTTCCTCCAGTGTGAGAAGCTGTGCTCCAAGCGGTGGGGATGGAAGGGTGAGCCCCCTGGGAGCCACAGGCTGGTGGAAATGAGTCTTAGAACCACACCTAACATTTACTGAGCGCCTACTATGTACCAGGTGCTGATCGAAGGCTTTTCCTACTTAATTCATTCAACTCGTACCTCCCAATGAGACATAACGCTACTGTATTTCACTGAGTCTAGGACCTACATTTTTGGCCTCACAACTAGAGTTACCAGAGTTAGCAAATAAAATAGGGGACTCCAATTAAATTTGAAATTTACGTAAAGAATAAATAATTCTTTAGGATCAATAGGTCCCAGGTAGTATGATCCCAATGTGGTAAAATTATCCTAAAACATTATTCTTTTTTTTTTAAAGATTTTATTTTTTCCTTTTTCTCCCCAAAGCCCCGCGGTACATAGTTGTATATTCTTCGTTGTGGTTCCTTCTAGTTGTGGCATGTGGGACGCTGCCTCAGCGTGGTCTGATGAGCAGTGCCATGTCCGCGCCCAGGATTCGAACCAACGAAACACTGGGCCGCCTGCAGCGGAGCGCGCGAACTTAACCACTCGGCCACGGGGCCAGCCCCAAACATTATTCATTTTTATCTGAAATTCTAATTTGAATGGACATCCCGTATTTTGTCCGGCAACTCTACTTGTAATGTTTCTAAAATCTATATCAGTCTTACAATCCATGGGCTATATATAATTAGTAACAATTTTTTCTTTCTTAGGGGCTCATAAACTAACGTTGTGCTGCGGTGGCTTCTTGGATGGGTTGAAATGCGACGTTATTATGCCCGTTTGACAGACGAGCAGGCTGAGGTCACCGAGGTTTGCAAAGCCAACGGCACAGGCAGAATTTGAAGCCAGACAGGCTGCGCCAGGATCACACCGTCTCCTATGCTTCTGATCGAGGGGCCTTCTCCTAGTGTCTGACGGCAGTTGACCCTGGGTCGTTAGGAGCCACTTTGTTGCATTTCTGCTGTTTCTCTTTTTCACTTCAAAATCCTGTAAAGCAGTTTTGGATCTGTATCTTTAGTTTCTTGGCCACGGAGGGTTGAGATTCAAGTCAGAGATTAGAGGCTCAACTCCAGGAGCCTCTCTGCCGTCAGGAGCTGAGCTCTGTGAGGAGCGCTCACTGCCTGCGGGTCAGTCCAGCGCGGGCTGCAGCACGGAGCGCGGGCCGGGCTGCGTCTCCTTCAGCCACCATGGGAGAGCAGTGACGGAAGCAGACTTTAAGATCATCGGTCCACGCCTAACTGGGTTCAAATCCCAGCATTCATTCATTCAACAAACACTCACTGAGGCCTCCTCTGTGCCAGGCTCAGTTCTAGCACTAGAGACTTCCCAGGGAAGGAAACAGGAAAAAAATTCTTGCCCTCATGGAGTTTAACCTTATAGCATGAAGGCAGAAAATGAATAATCAAATTATGTAGTATGTTAGAAGGCGATAGAGACTACGGAGAAAAAGCAAGCGGGAGAAGGAACTAGGACGTCACAGAGAGCTGCAATTAAACGGGCGGGGTGTTCAGGAGAGTCCTCAATGGAAAGGTGACATTTGTACAAAGACTTGAAGGAGGTGAGAGGCAGCTAGAGAGCCATGTGAAGATTTTAGGGGAGAGCATCCCCTGCAGAGATCGGTGCAAAGGCCCTGAGGCCAGTGCACAGTTGTGGTCTCTGAGGAAGCCAGTGAGGTGGCTGTAGGGTGAGTGAGCAGGAGAGTGAGAGGAGGTGAGGTTGGAAGGGCAATGGAGAGGGGAGAGGGACCTCATAGGGCCATCTTACAGACTTTGGCTTCTGCCCTAAGGGAGATGGGAAACTTGCCAACTGTGTGGCCTTGGGCAGGTGACTTGATCTCTCTAAGCTTTACAGATGTGTCCTCCTCTGAAAAATGGAACTGATAATAGGACTCACCTCTTCCAGCAGTTGTAGGAGTTAAGCCAGCAATACAGTGACAAGTATGAGAGGGGCCATGCCTTGTCGCTGGGCTTATTGTGGTACAAATACCCAACTTCTTTGTCCCTTGGCAATTGCCTGACGTTGTTCATCGACCCCAAAGAGAACCGATAGGTCAAGATGGCCTGTATAGATTGGAAAAAATTTTAATATCTTGATTGAGCCATTCGCCCATTTAGTCATTCAGCAGACATTTTCTAAGTGCCTCCTTGTACCAGGTTCTGTGCTGAGTGCTGGGAATTTGAGGATGAAGATTTGGATCTTCAGACTCAGAAGAGTTTCACCCAGAGCTTGGGCTTCATCTGGTCGCCTGTGGTGCTCACTCATCTGGGCTGCATGGGGTGTTTTTACAATCTGGAACAGTTGCAGCATTTAAGGATAAAAACATGTCACAAAAATCCAGATTTACAGTTCTCTTGAAAAATCAGGAGCTCTGGCTACACTGAGCCATAGTCCCACATGGCAGTCCCCAGCCAGGCCTGAGCACCACCCTGGGACCCCACATGGACCCCCAGTTGCCTGGGGTCCCACCGTTCCCTGTTGTTCACACCCAGCCCTCTTGGTTCATTTTTTTAACCTTCTGTGGATAGTGCCTGTCTTGGGCATCTGTGTTTTGACCTCCAGGAGAAGTGCCACAGTGGAACGATGACCCTGGATGGCTTCATGGAGGGTGGGGCACCGAAGCTGGGACCTGCGGGATGAGGGGCATTCGGGGCAGAGGGAGCTGCTTGTGCTGGGGCAGAGGGCGCACCTGCCGTGCCTCAAGGATGCCAAAGTCAGGTGACGTGATTTTCCAAGGCAGCACCTTCCAAGAGCGCTGGGCTCAGTGGCTGTCAGTTTGCATATAAAACGCAAATGGGAAAATTGTTTGCATTAGAATTTCAGCACAAAATGTGCTCAGACTACATGACCCCGAGCTCCAGGCTCAGCGGGGGAAAGACAGGAGGAGGGGTATCTAAGGCGGGCAGCTTGGGGTTCAGGGTATCTCGTCAGTGGGTGAAGTAAACCCAGGAGTGAGGCGGAGTCTTCTCGGCAGAGTCCTGATTCCTTCCTGCTCTCCTGCTGGGAATACCTCCTGTCACTGAGTGTGATGCTAGTGTTAGAGGAACAGAAGATGTGGACGACATGGCCCCAAATACAGCCCACATTCTTCATCTGGCGCTGAACAGAAGAAATAGTGAAGTTCTACAAAATTTGGGATAATCCGGCCACATTAGACATTATCAGCTTATCTCTGGTTGTTTATTATAAAAGTACTTGAGGATAAATAGTGTGAAGGGGCAAGGAGTGTGTATAAACTTGAATCTTCATCCCGGGGTGAGCTGGTATTTGAAGTAGCCTAATCGGGAACCCACCAACCAGCAGTAAGTAATTAAGCCCTTGGGATGTTATAGGATTCTACACCGGAGGGTGTGCTGGAAAGGGATGCTACCAATGATTTTCACCTGTGAAACGAGCAGCGTTGAAGACACAGTTGGCTAGAAAGATCGTGTGGGCACGGCTGACGTTGCGTGGTGTGAGGACAGAGCAGGCCCACCTCTTAGGACTTCTAGAGCAATGCTAGAAGTATTTATTTCCTTTTTTAAAATATAATTTATTTAATAGTAAGTATATTTAACTTAATTTTTAATTAAGGCTGTGCTTTTTTAAAAATAATTTTTAATAATGGCTGTGTTTAAGAACTGGCTCACAAAATTCCTGAGAATTGAACCGTCGGCTCTCGCAAGCCTGGGGGAGCCAGCTCCAGCTCCCCAGGCCTGAGCCTGGCCTTCCCCACCCCCTCTCTGCCTCGTTAGCGCCTACCCATCCTTCAGCTCTCAGCCAAGCAGTATTTGCTCAGGGAACTCTCGGTGTGGCCCACCACCGCCCCATCACACCTGTGTCAGCCAAGTATATCTATAATTGTTGTTTTAATGTTCTTGACCCTTTAGGATGTCCCCTCTGTGAAAGCCGAGTTCTGGTCCGTCCTCTTTCCTGTGCCACTCACAGGGCCTGGTACACAGTAGGTGCCCAATTATTCTTGTTTAAGGAATGAATGAGTGAGTGAATGAGAAATCTCCATTAAGGCTTTCTCTACCTTTTATATGTGTAAATTTGGGTGATACTCTAGAGAAATTATGTAAAATTTTGTGTTCAAAGAATGAATCCTTTATTAAATAGATGGCCTCCTTCCCAGCGCTTTGTGGAGCTCAATCTTTTTTGTGCCGTGGGCCCTGCTGGGGTCTGGGAAGCCTGTGATGTCCTCTCATAATTGTTTGTAAATGTATAAAAATGCATAAGCTTGCAAAGGAAAACATTTATATTAAAACGCAGTTATTAAAGAATTTTTTAAACAAATGTATGTTAATATATGTGCTTTTTTATTAACATACTAAGTGACAAGATCCAGTGGGAAGTCTAATAACTGTAATTTTGAAATAGTAATAACTAGAAATGATATTTCAAATTATCTGTAACTCTGACGTGATATGAAAATATCTGGTTTCCATTGGTAACAAAGTTTCGAGTACTGCTAACACTGCTGCAGTTTGTCTACATTCAAAATGAGAAAAAAGGATCAAGTTCAAGTTGGTGTGTATTTATTTATCCTGAATCCTATCCAAGGATCTCTTAGAGGGTCCATAGGCCCTGAGTTAAAGGATTCCTGTGAAGAGATCAATAGCCCAAGGGTTCAAGGGGATACAGATCAAAGACCTCCACTCAAGAAAGAGCCTATACAGATGAAGAATCAGGATTTGCTGTCAGACATTCCCAGATTCAGATTCTTATGTCTGCCTCTTACAAGCTGTGTGACCTTGGACAAGTGTCTTAACTACTCCGAGCCTGAGTGTCCTCGTCTATAAAATGGGCCTAACAGCAGTTGCCTCTAAGGAATGTTCTGATGCTTAAATGACTCAGAACCACGCCTGACATGTAACTGCTGCTCACAAATAATCACTACTGTTTCTACATTACTAACGGAAGTTCTTTTTGACCTGAGAAGCTCCAATGCTTTTAACAGAATCAAACGGGGTCACTGGTGACTGGGTCATTGGAGATCTTGTCCCTGAGACTATGGAAGCTTGAAAACTGGAGCACGGACGCAGAGCGGAGGCTCATTTACCTCAACTGAATTCTTCCAAGAGAACTTCGAGTTTCTTATCAGAGAAACACTTTGATCAGAGCTCCCAGGGCCTAACAGCCAAAGGGAAACGCACACAGGTGCCAGGGCCTTGCTGATGCAATCCCGATTCTGCAGTCAGAAACAGACTGCGTAGTCCTCCAAACCTGCTTGCCCGGGACTGTCCTGGTTAGTGCCTGTGGTCCCGAGTGATTATTAACAGCATCCTTTTTACTCATAAAGCATCCCAGTCCGGATGATGCAGTAGATGGTCGCTGTAGGTGAGGACCGCCCTTCTCCCTTAGCTGCTGAGGCCCTGGTTAGATTCTTTTGAGGGCACAGTTAATACAATGCTTTTGTTCTCCTTGACAGAATTCAGAAAGGAAGCTTGCAGCCCCTAGAATTCTGGTTCTTTTATTCCAGGCTTCTGGAATCATTATTGCATACGGGCTTTGAGGCAAAGAAACCTGGAATTAGAGTGACCAACCGTCCCGGTTTGCCTGGGACTGAGAGGTTTCCTAATATGCAGATTTTTTGGTGCTAAAACTGAGCGCGTCCCAGGCAAATCAGGGCAGTTGGTGACGCTGTCTGGATCAAATCCCGACTCTGCTCTTTATCATTCGTGCGACTCTGGACAGGTTATATTTTTCTCTCTGAGCTTCACTTTCCTGATGTTCCAGTTAAGGTCACAATGTTTACCCGCACAGTATTGTTATAGGGGTTAAGTAAGATAATATTCTGGGATAAGGATTAAGGGAAGTGATATATAGTCACCCCTCCAATGACTTCCATCCCACTTAAAATAAAACCCAAGATCCTTCTCGTGGCTCATGATGTCCTACACAATCCAGCACTCTTCAGTTCACTCCTCTGTATCTCCCGCCTCCTTTTGTTCCCTTGCGGTAGTCACTGGCCTTCTCGCTGTTCCTTGCACATCAAGCTTACTCCTCCTCTCGGCCTTCACACTTTCTGTTCCCTCTGCCTGCAATGCTCTTCCCAGACATCCTCATCATGCCCAGCCTGTGCACCCATATCATCTCCTCAGAGGGGCCTTCCCTGGTCCTGCCACCCAAAAGAACTTCTCCTCTCGTGCTCTGTTGCTTTCCTCTGCCGCATTCTCCCGTCACAGCATTTGCCATTACGTGACCTTATATATCAAGATAGTTATTGCCCAACTTCTCCATTAGTCTATGAACGCCCTGAAGCAGATATTTGATTTCAATCACCAATCCCATGTCTCCTGTACCCTGAGCAGTGCCCAGCACAGTGCACAGGCTAGTTAGTACTTTTTGGAAGAAATGAATACATCGTACACGGCCACAGGGCCTTCCAAGTTCAGGATATTGTTTCCATCCTTGTGGCGACTTGCCTGCTGCCTTTGGGAAAATGCTGGGAAAGGTCTGTTGGTACCCGTGTGTGATGCTCGCCTGCTCAACTCAGCTTATCAATGTGACTGGCAGCTGTTGTGTCATTTAAAAATGAAAGACTCAACGATGACCCCCAATTAAGCACTCAAGCCCTGTTCTATTGCTGGAGTCCATTTCTGGAATGACAGTAGGGAGGCATCTTTTCTAAGGCAGGATGTGGGGTGGGAGATAATTTTGAAAGTCAGGATTAGCCTAAAATCACATTAGCCAAGTTACGCTTGAAAATTCCTCGAGCCTAAATCTCCATGCTGTTGCGTACATGTGGCCTGGCACAGGCGGCTCTGGGATCCTTTGAATGCATGTTCAAGTCTGAAGCTCCTCTGAGCTGGACTACAGAAATGAGCACAAGGAACCTATCTGTGCCAGTGTACCTCTAGGTGTGGCATTCGCATCTCCCTGTCTTGAAGGCAACTGCCACGTCCCAGCGGTAGGTGACGGATGGTGGAGTGCCAGAAAGGGCCCTGCTTATTGTGAGGTTTCTCGCCATGTGCTGTAATAGAAAGTCTCTGTGACCTTGACGCGAGTTCGTGGATTTGTTTGCAGCTGTGAGAATTAACTAAGCGGGAGAGTGGGGTTTGTTCGTGCCTATGGACTACGTGTGTTTGTGTATGTGGTCATGAGAGAGAAGGGGGCTGGGGACTTGAAATTCAGCCTAAAAATTAAATGCACATATGATGCATTTCAAACTGACTCTGCAGCCACCAGTCTTTTCAAGGCGCAACAATCTCCAAGCCCATCCTCTACGCCGAGGGCTGTGCGAGGTGCCGGGAAAAGAAGAGGAATGGAATCATTCATCCAATATGATTACCCACTACATTCCAGGAGGAAGGGGTGGTGCAGGGGTGAACAGCTCCAACAAAGGCCCTTCCCTCAGGCCACATATGTTCCAGAGGTGGAGACAATGGACAGGTAAACATGTGTATCCTGGCTGGAGAGGATGTGGAGAACGGGACCCCCATACACCGCTGCTGGGAATGTAAAATGGTGCAGCCGCTTTGGAAGACAATCTGGCAGATTCTCAAATCATTAAACATAGAGTTACCATATGAGCCAGAAATTTCACTGCTAAATATATACCCAGGGGAAAATGAAAACATATGTCCACACAAAAACTTGTACATGAATGTTCACAGCAGCGTTACTCATGACAGTCAAAAGGAGGCTACAACCCAAACGTCCATCAACTGAGGAATAAATTTTTAAAATGTAGTGTATCCATGCAGTGGGGTAGGCCCTGCAAAGGAATGAGATATCGATCCACGCTACAACACGGATGAAGCTTGAAAATATCATGCGACGTAAGAAACTAGTCACAAACGACCGCATATTATATGATTCTATTTATATGAAGTGTCCAAAATAGGCAAATCTAAGACGAAAAGTACATTAGTGGTTGCTTAGGGCTGGGAAAGTGGATATAAGGAGTGATATCTAAAGGGTACTGGGTTTCTTTTTGAGATGATGAAGATGTTCCAAAATTGACTGTGGTAAGGGTTGCACAACTCTATGAATATGCCAGAAACCATTGAATTGTGCACTTTAAGTGGGTGAATTATATGGTATGTGAATTGTATCTTGGTAAAGCTGTTAAAAACAAAACAAAACAAATACATCCTGGACCATCACAGAGAAAATTACTATGGAGAAATAGTGCAGGAAAATGGGGATAGAGTGACTTTGGAGGGGGTGCTTTTTCAGAAGGAGTGGTTAGGAAATTCCCGTGTGAAGAGATGCCATCTGGGCCAAGACTGAATAAAGTGAGAAAATGAACTTCATGGGTGTCTGGGAAAAGAAGACCCTGCAGCGGACGCCGTGAGGGCCAAGCCCCCACGGCAGGGGTGTGAGGTTGTGTTAAGGATCAGCGAGGAGCAGGAGCCTGAGCAGCTGGGAAAACTGGTGGGAGTGGCCGGCCCGGCAGCCCCTGGCCCAGGCCGGCGTGGGATGATGACTAACTGAGGCTCAGAGGGACTCAGCAACATGCTGGGAGTCCCCCAGACCAGATCCCCCACAGATGTGAAGATCTACTCTGTGTAAGCGCCCAGTCCGAGCTCCAGCCACTGGGAGGGGTGTCCGCCGTCATTTACCATCTTCCTGGCTGTGCAAGCCTTCTAATCTCATGATCAGATGCAGAAATTACTCAGTGAACTCAGTGACAAACTGAGTAATTTCACTATGAACCTGTGTGTTCCTACGAAGAAAGTTGCTAGACTCTTGGAAAAGAAAATGAAAAAAAAAAAAAAAACAACCAACTGAACTATAGTGTGTAAATCATGTCCTGTGCGAGATATCCCAACATCCCAGCCCTGTCCAGCCCCTACATGACAAACCCCAGCCGAGCTGATGTGGGGCAGAAAAACTGTCCAACCCAGTCAACCCTGAGAATCGTGAAAGAAATAAATTATTGTGTTAAGCCACTACATTTTCATGTAGTTCGTTACTCAGTCATAGACAACCAGAGCAACTGCTTACCTTCAAGCTTCTGTGCACAAGAAAAATAGTTTTCTACCACATTTAAATCATTAAAATTGTGGGTTTTCTTGCACCCAAACCGAATCTCTACTAATTCAAGTTGCGTGAGGCTGGGTGATGGTATGAACAGCAGCATTACCAGGAGACTTAGAAACTTAAATTAAATCCCTGACAGGCTGTGTGACTTTGACTGTCCTCTTCCTCTCTGGACCTCAGGGTTCTCATGTGTAAAATAAGATTCATTCATTAAATTGAAATTTACTAAGCAGCACTGTGTGTCGGGCATCGCACAGAGCTGGCCCTTCTTTATGAGGCTTCCAGTGCAGCAGGGGAACCAGTCAAGACAAAGATAAAGAAATAAGCCATTGAAACAATATCGAGAAATGTGTGCAAGTAACAAAACGAGAGGAAATAAGAGAGGGATGGGTGGAAGCAGGTTTGATTTCCACGGAGGGCCAGAGAAGGCCTCTTTAGAGAGGTGTTGGTTGAGCATTGATCTGATTGGAAAGGTGAGCTGGCTGTGTGAAGAGCTGGGAGACAAGTTTTCGAGGCAAGGGAACAGCAAAAGAGGGAAGAGCTAGTTGTGCATGGTTGGGAAACAGCCAGAAGGCTAGCACGGACGGAGCAAAATGAGTAAGTGAGAGAGAGGTAGTAGATGAATTTAGAGGCATAAGAAGGGACAGAATTAAGCAAACCCCAGGAAAGCTTCGTGCATGCAGGGTCTTGTATTACAGGCCACTGATGACCTTGACCCCAGCCCTTGGGCCATAGTCCCCAGCAGTGACGGAAGTTGATGGATTTGCAAAGACAGGAAATTAGCATAAAGATCTTGTGATTTGGTATACACACAAAATAGTGTCTGTCAACTAAATAAATGCATCTTGTATTTCGTGTACCACTGGCTTTTAAAGGTATTGGCAATGCTGTTGTAATTTCCCAAAACACAAATCCGCTACGAAAGCACTTGGGAATTTATAATTAAGCATTTGCCATTATATTTTCCTCAATCAATGAAAATGAATAGTTTCACTATATCATGTGACTACAAAGCGTCTGGTGAAAAAAAAAAAAACGTGCTCATAGTCCAAACTGGAAGGACAAACCTTGAGAGTGTCCAGACCCTTCTATTACCAAAATCATAGAAATTTGTGCTACAAGAAAATCTATTGAGGCAAAAAGAGCACGTGGTGATTCCTTATAATTATTATTACTATAGAAAGAATTTGTTGAGTACTTACTATCAGCTGTTACATTATGGAACTGTTATTTCTTTCATTTCAGTTATTCATCTAATCTCCGAAACAGTTTCATAAAGTAAGCATTATTCCCATGTTACAGATGAAATATCTTAAGGTTCAGAGATGTTAACTAAATTGACCACGTTTATACAAGTAGTAAAAAATAGTAGAGGAAAATGTGAAGATCTGTCCTAATAGAAA